CCTTAATGGAAGCTCAGCTCGCATCCTGCTTGGAGGGTGAATCTTATAGCCTTGGAAAGCCCCTTTGGCAAAACCAAGGTCCTGCAAAAGTCTTGGTTCTCTCCTCAAACACCCGACCCGCAGAATCCAAGCGGCAAGAAAAAGGTCTTCGGCGAGACGATAGCAGCGGCCGCAGGCGCCGTGTCAGCCCAAGCAGCCGCGCGCAACAGCAGCGCCGCCCCAAAATGGGCCCGCGCCGATCGGAACAGGAACAACAGAGTGGAAAAAAAGTTGGTTGATTTTCTCTGTTTCCTAATCGTGCCACTTGCTGTACCCACATCAAGCTGGGTCACAGCTTTCCGGTGCCTTCCCGGGACCTAGCGCCTTTGGGAAATCTTTGGCAGTAGTGTTGACCTGCATCGTCTTTGTCAGACTTGAGCACTTGAATGGATACAAAATTCACGAAAGCATGCAGTACAACTAGCAAGTGGTTGGGGAACTCTAGTAGCTGGCTCCTTAGCTCCACCCTGAGCGATGGCTAGCTTAAGAATGTCGTCCGCTGGGGTGCGGCGCGCAGAGAGCGCGCTAGGAGCGCGCGCACATAAAAGTGCGGAAAGAAAGAAAACTCAGAGCGAGCGGCAGTGCGCAAAGAAGCGCGACGGGGTGCACAGAAGGAGGGCGTCAGAGCGGACGGGTGACGGTGAGCCCGCGTGGCGAATGACAGCGTCTGTGCGCGCGACTGCTGACTGGGTTTCCACAAAACCCGGCTGAAAGGTCGAACTGTATAATACCGCCTGTTGCGGTATACAAGACACTATGGGCACGCCTATTCGATTGTTGTGTGGAGATGAATCTGCGGTGGAGATGTTGGATGGTGATCTCGAGTCTGACTTGGTCGAAGGCCTGAGGAAGTGCACAAAGAACGCCAGGAATCATGGGCGTCGAGGCGCAGGCGGCCACCCAGCCACGCAGGCCTGGGCGGGCTGGCAACAACAGCCAGAAAATGGTATAATGCAAAGAAGGGTGGGTAGGGCTTCAGAAAGCTTGGTGAGGCGCTTCCACTGTAGATGTAGCTGCTAGCATCATGAGTGCTGAAGGTTAGGGTCAGGTAGCAAGCCACCAAACTACCGTGCTGGAACTGGTGGTGTTCAGTGTGGTTGAGGAACAACAAAACCAACAAAACACACGTCTACCAGCAACCCCTTGAAACTTGCGCCAAGCTGCGCTGCCGCTTGCGGCATTGATGCGGAGGCGGTCCAGCTCTGGGATCCGCCGCAGTTCTCCGGAATTTCCTACAAAGAAAAGCTGGCAAGTAAAGGAAAAAAAAGAAAAGGGATCCGGTGTACATGATGCACTTGCCATGTTGCCTCCTCTCACGGTGCCAAGCCAAGGCCACCAATCGATGGACATACACATTGTCGCCCAGAACTGAAACCAGAATCTGAAGGCTTTACAAATCCGTACGACAACTCGTCTCTGGTGTTAGGAACTCACCTACCAGCTTGGTAGACTGGTGACATGGAAGGGGCGAAAGGTTCGCCCGCCCGAGTATCTACACATGTCTGGCTGCGCATTGCGCGCGTGTTTTGGTTACAAAAACAGACAAGCCTATTATGACATGATTTGATTGCCAAACAAACCTTCTGGCATGCCAGGCGCAGGCACCTGATTATGCGAAGCCCGTTAAAAGCTTCTACATAAAAACCATTGAAAATCGACATTCAAGCGCTTAACTCACGCTTGTTGACCTTGAAGTCGTCATCCAGGCCTTGAAGTCCTTCGAGCCTTGGGGATGTTACTCCACATAACGGGTGAGAAAATCCGAAAAATATGGCACGCCCCAAATTCTCTGTCTTGCGGAACCCCTGGTGTTCCCGCGAAGCATCTTCCGTCGCGCTGCTTGTTGGCCTTCTTGAATGCGTTGGTCATCTCGTCATAATGTATGATAGTAGCCTGTCTTGTACCGTGGTGAAGCGACAAGACTGCGTTGTTTGATTGATGCCACCTTCAAAGCATGGATGCCCCGCAACAAAACGAGACTTTGCAACCTTTGCCGCAGCAGCCCCTCTACCCTGCCAGCCCTCCAGCCTTCCGCACCAGCAGGTCCACCGCCGGCTGCAGTTTGGGAGCGCCCAAGAGGGGCGATTGTGCACCGGCAGCGGCATGCGAAACATGAAGCCATCAGTTGGACCACCATCACGATAACCTTGTCTTAGCCACCAAACAAAAATGGCTTCGTCAGAACAGTTTATCTGGAATCAATGATGAGATGTGTGAGAAAATGACCGGACAGAAACTGCGACATCCAAGACAGCACTCCATTCTTACTCATTGTTCTTCATTCCAAGCAAAAGCCACCATTTTTGCTATTTAGCCCGAGTACGCCCAACATGTGAACATCGCCCCGCACAGCAGCATCCGGCCAGAACGAAGTTCATCATGCGTGTTCTGATCTGGCAACCCTTGACGCAGAACCAGTGTCTAGCATGGTGTCGTGTAAACACAAAACAAAAAGCGCAGACTTCCCATAGATTTCAAGAGTGTTGCTGTGTACACGCTGCTCAAACTGTTGCCTTGAGCAAAAGGCCCGCCAAGCGAGTAGCCAAGTCCACTGGTCAATAGAAAGGAGGGTGACGCCTAAGAAGAACAGAAAACAACTCTAGATTTCCTGCGCGCTACAACTGCCTAATGATTCCTTCAACGTGACCCACCAGGCAGTTTTTAATCTTTCCAGGGTCTTGGTCATCGTATACACACACCCCACCCTATAGTGAAACGCAAACTTTGTGGGCGCAAAGCACAGTATGTGCATTCGGTGTATGATATGTTGCGACGGGTCGCGCGCTGAAATCATGTGTGTTTGGCGGCAAGGTTGTGAATTTATGAGAACTGTCAGCGTTTTTTCTCCGTACCACCACGTGAAAATGTGTTCAACAGCAGGGGAGATCTGTGGCGTTTATATAGACCAGCCCGCACGATTCTTCAGTTGGCCTAAATGTTTTGCAAGGGCGTTGCTGCTAAAGTGCCACGCATCATGCGCCAGCGCGCTGCAAAGAAGCACGTCTCAAAACCGAATATTCGCAGCCGAATCCCTGTTCACCTATTCTTTCAAGGCAAAAAACAAAAATGGGGCACGCAACGCTTTTGTCTTATTCAAGAGAAAGGGCAATCTGTCACACTACCGCCCCACAACTCCGAGCACTACCTGCCGGAGTTATATGGTTTACTGCCCATCAAGGCCTCTTAGCACCTAAAGCGCACAGCCATTCCAGGCGTGCAAATACTTAGGAGCAGAAACGCGCGCAGAGTTTGGAACAAAAAACAGTCCGCCGGGCGGAATCGCTGCAGAGTCTTTTCACCTTCTCGTCGAGCGTGGCACGATGGCCACTAGTCAGTCTGCCACGCTTAACATGAATGCACGCGTCAATGATGGACTCCAAGTCGATCAGCACATGCGCAGCGTCCGAAGCGTCGAACATGTTCTGGCCAAGGCTGCGCCATGATTTGACGCACGCGAAGTTTGACGATGCAACCTGTGCGAAAAACTGCACTTGCCCAACTGCAGTCTCGTCTCTGCAGTTGAAGATTACAACATCTTCTATACTAGCCATGGCCCCTGGAAGAAAGCAAGCCTCTGCAAGATTCTTTCAGTTGTTGTCCTGGCCCTCAGGCTTGCACAGTCTGATCGTAAATGGATCTGTGTCACACTGGACAATGAGCGCGTCCCTAAGCACTCCACGTTCCCAGGATGGTGGTGTATTCTCTGACAGCGTTGCCCACCGCTTAAGCTCGCGGCGCTTCCTTTCCAAACAAAAGCACGAAACCAAGCACGTGAACCTGCGGATCATATCGCCCAAGTGTGTACTGTAGTGGTGTTTTGGAATGAACCTGCCCGTGCCATAACACGCAACAAAGGCTTCCAAATGAGAATCAACGGCGTCCCCTCAGCTCACAGCCCTGCGTTGAGCCACAGCGTTGCCATGTACATGTGGAGCCTATATGCTTGATAGTTCTTCCTTTTTTTCCCCCACTTGGCTCGCTTGCTAAGTGCAGCGGGTACACTTGCTAAGTAGGCCAGGCGTAGGCCGAGCACACTTGCTAAGTAGGCCGGGACACACTTGCTAAGTAGGCCAAGGCAGGCGGCTAATTGGCATGCTAAGTATCCACGGGCAGACCTGCTGAGTAGGCCACGTAACTGCCCGCGCAACTTAGCAACTGCAGTTGCCCAAGACAACAACCGCGCCAAACAACATACTAACATTGCCAAATCAGATGGCTGACATGTATAAGTAGAATATAGTAGAATCCTATTTTGCCCAAAGTTGGGCCAACTAGTTGTCCTCCTCAGTATGTAGATATGTCTAAGCACCAAGACTTAGTAACATCGCCAACAAAGCTGGAAAGATAAGCAAAGTTATTAAACTAGGTTAGAGAATACATGAGGTTGCAGCAGTTATGTAAGTAGGCTAAAGACGCCAGACAGATAGCAACAAAGCCGGCCATCCAAGTAGTTGCGGAAGCCTAGTTGCGGAAGCCTAGTTGCGGAAACCTAGTTCCGGAACCCCAGTTGCGGAAGCCTAGTTGCGGAACCCCAGTTGCGGAAGCCTAGTTGCGGAAGCCTAGTTCCGGAACCCCAGTTGCGGAAGCCTAGTTGCG